TAAAAATCAAATGCCATGTTATCTGCGTTGAAGCTTCTTTTCCCCAATGTTTAAAAATTCATATCTTCCAAAAAAATAAAAATATCGACTTCTTTCTAGGCTTATCTTAAAGATGAATTATGTGACTATTTTCTAAAAAAATGTGACTTTATTTAAAAATGGGCGATTCAATATGGCCGATTAAAACGTCATTTTATTGAAAATTGTTAAAATTTGTTTAATTAAAATGTAATTTGGTATAAATGTTATTGGAAGATGTATGGGATTCAATACGCAGCGCGCACGAAGCGCGCGCCTGTTATGTACTAGTATAAGTTTAAAGATGTAACCATCAACTTTGAATCAATTTTAAATATTTCAATTGTGTGTCAAATATATTATACACTTGTTTAATATTTTAAATCTGCAAATATATACTCTATTTGCATGCAAGCCTGAAAATATAATTGTCAAATAAAAACAAGTTTTGATATTTCAGATTGCATGCCACTTGTGTGTCAAAATATTGAATGGAACCTTCTGTATTATATATTATGCATAAAGGCTTGTGACGTTGACGTATAGCCTAAGTCAGCCCTGAGCGGAATACATTAGACTGTCTACATAGCGAGATAGTGATTCGGGTCTGTCAAAAGTCAAGGTGTGCCCGTCACGTGGAATAGACGGGATAAATGATTTTCCAATATCGATACGGTTTCTCGCGCTTCCCTGCATTTCTAGACAAACTGTTATATCCGCTCAACTACTGCAGAAAGCTTACCAATCGGCAGACCTTTTGTAATCCCCGATTTAGAGTTGTTGTTTCATTGAAACGGATGACATTCTTGATTACCAAATAAAGAAAATATTCTTATCATTCATTTAGCGACTTTAATTTTAATAATAGATCCTTTAACGAATTTGAAAATCATTTTTTTATAGTAAAAGTTTTATTTTTAACTTTTTGTATTTGATAGTATTAAACATTTTTTAATGATTATTTCAGTTATTTAATTATTTCAGTTTTTTATAATTATTAATAATGATTTCATTTTAATTATAACATTTCATGCTTTTAAGCCTTACTGCTTATAAAAAGCAAAGATTTAATATTTTTTCTGTTCCAATTGTAAGTATTGTAATTTTTAAATTTTATAAAGAGACTTTGATTAAATGTGAATTTTCTCTCTTATTTTCTTTGATAACTAATTTTTTACTATGATTAATTTTTGAAGTTGTAATTAGATATAAAAAATTCAAATTAATTTTGATACGCATGTTGGTTCATTTCATGTTTTACCACAAATTTTTAACGTTTTCAAAGAAGTAATTGTATGAAAATTCTAATCATAAAGCATTTTGTAAAAAAAATTTATAAGGAAGGATTATTTCTTTATCTCTACTACACTGCAGTATAATTCTGTGATATGAGGATGCGAACTATATGTATATAACTATCGTCACATCTTTACATGCATCTCACAGAAATCGCAGCTACTGTCAGAGACATAAGATACTTCCACTGACAGTTCCCGGGGAGTAATATACGCATCTCAACTCTGCTGCAGTTACATTGTCGCAGTAATCGATTGGCACGCGAAAGGAATTCCGGACGTTTAATTGGAATTTGTGTGCGAAGCGCAGTACAATATATCTCACCGTAGCTGCTGTAGCCATACTTGTTAGAGAAACGGTAGCATCGCATAATATGCGGCTTGCTTGCGTCGATCTCTAGTGATTCTAACATCCAATTCGAAGCCCGATTAACTACAATATTAAACATAGATATTGTACGTATATAACTACTATTAATACTACACGTTACATGATGCAATCTCGGCTATGATTGTGATGAAAAATAATATTGAATTATTAATCTCTCTCTTAAAACATCTTTTCTTTGTTAATTTTAAATTAAAAATTTGTGTCAAGTGAAATTTTATAGAAAATGAATCAAAAGTATCAAAATCAATTTGAATGTATTCAAATTGTTGTATTTAAATTTGAATGTAATTACAATTTTATGAATTAATTAATTGGAATTATAAAAGACAAAGAAAAATTTATATTTAATATTATACAGTTTTGTTTTCAAAATTAAAAATTAAAATTAATGCTTAAATAGAAGCAAAAAATTAATATAACATATAAATAAATAAAAAATACGATATAATCTTTTTACGCTTGAAATAACTAACTGCTTACATTGTTTAATTTCTTTCTCTCGCCAATTTACGATTTAATTTCTACCAGAAGTGATTACAAGACGTGTTTTAAAAGCAATATTTACAGTAATTTTGGAGCAATCTGGTGAGAAAGGGTGACGACTATCATACGCATCGAGTGGCTGTCCATCGACGCAATGATCAGGAAGGAATTCCATCTCATAAGTAGCGGACCACGCTTAATTGGAATTTATGCTCGTAGTGGTACATAAGCCACCCTATAGACAAGCACGTTATAGCACGGTAGTTGATAGCAAACGCGGTAGCACCGCGTAACGAGTTAGCGAAAGATGACGAGAGATGAAAATAGAGAAGCGGGAGAGGGAGAAAGAGAGTGAGTGAGTGAGTGAGTGAGAGTGAGAGAATGTTGAGAGGATGCCTTCTCATGGCCCTGGCGGTTCGCAATCGATAGCTGAGCAGTTGGAGGCAGTAGAGGTCGGTGCGAGGGTCGATGACGAGAAGAGGAAGAGAGAGAGAGAGAGAGAGAGAGAGAGAGAGAGAGAGAGAGAGAGAGAGAGAACTGAATCTCCCTCTGATCGGTTCTACGGAGACTATCCTAGTTAAATAGGTGCATGTCCGCAGCTAGAGAGACGCATAAGACCTATTCGAACCAAACTCAGATCTGCCAGATTCAACCGTAGCTTTTTACCACTTTTCAATTAACTTTTAAATAAAGACCTTTTTCAACTTTTTTTCAATAAATACCAGTTTCAATATGTAATTTTAACAGGTAACGTTACGTACAATTAAATTTTCGAGCAGAAATATTCGTTAACACAATTGAATCATCTTTTAATGTAAATGAAAAGAGGGACACATATAGTTAAAAGTGAACGTATATGAAGAATACGAAGATATTGAGAAATCAATATTTCTATTTAATCATCTGAAATTAAAATGATCGAATAAAAATACGATAATGTATCAAGTGATGTATTGCAGTTAATGTGAATTGTTATGACAGAATTGATGAAGAAGAACGATGAGCGTTAGTGCTTAATTAGATGTTTATTGATTAATGTTTTGCATTCATTATTTGGAAGTGTAGCGAGTTTAAAATTTTTATAAATATTTTATGTATATCCTAAGATGCTTTTGTCACTTTATACAGGAAAAAATTTTAGTGTGCATAAATGTATACAATGAAAAATCTATGCTATCGAACTTTCTGAATTTAATCAATGTGTTTACAATAGTTTCTTGGAGAAATTTTTATCAGCTTTTTTTGAAAGAAAATTTTTTTAAAAGATGTCATCGTTTGTTAGAATTTTTTAAAGAATATGAGACAGCACGATAAGTTTAAGACATTGTATGAAATGAAATGAGACCGTGTTTAATCCCCGCATTCATCGAGTGACATAATTAAAGTCGTAATCTCGTTAATTCTCCGCCTCTTTGGGAATTTCTCTTGTCATCGAGAATCTAATTTATTTATTTTTTTTTTTTGCTGATCCAACCCTACGATTTGCAGTGAATAAGAGGCGCTGTCCTGAATGGAAAATAAGAGGAAAGAAAATAACGATTTTAACTCAAATTTCCCTTTTGGACGGAATTATAAATAGAATGTAGATATTTATTTCGTCATTAAAAATTAAAAATAACAACAATATAAGTAAAAGAGAAAAAAGTGAACAGAAGATAGAGGATTTCTAAGGAATTCAGATAAATATTTACAATACCAATACTGTAATATTAGAAAAATTAAGAAACAGTTTTATAGTGAGTTTAGAAATAACATAAAGTATAAATATAGCATAAATAAATATAGCATAAATAAAGCATGAATAAGATAAAGTAGTGCAATTTCAAACATGGTACAATTCTGAACAAAATAAGATTTGAATCCAATTTTCGAGGTTCAAATTTGGTTTAATGGTAATCCTTTAGTATCCTGCACACAATGAGATCAAAGTTACCAAACTTGAATCTCGAAATTGGATTCAAATAATCTTAATTTGTTTAAAATTGTACCACTTTAATCTATTAAAGTATAAAAATTAGAATTCAACTATTCTAAATTATATAAAAAGTCTTTGGTCAGACTTTGAGATTTTGTAGAAAATTTAATTCTGAGCAAAAAATTTTCTATAAAAATAATTCGAAAAATGCTTTCGTAAAACACATTTGAAATTATTATTTCAAAACTTGTGAAACATATTACACTTATTTTGGTCCCATTTAAAAGATAATTTAATATGTTACAACTTTTGTTTTAAGATTTTTTTGTAAAAAAAAATGCATACTTTCCATGATATTTATGAAAATGTATAAAGTAACCGTAAAGTTTTTGGACAATAACTTTAAGAAAGCATTTTTCGACCCATATGGTTATAAGAAACTTTTTGTTTAGAATTAAATTTCTTACAAAATCTCAAAGTCTGGCCAAAACATTAGGGGCCACTCTGTACCTATATCTCCCTCTCACTACTACATAAGAATAAAAAAAAAGGAAAATATTAAAATTTTTCTTTTATTTTCGGACAAATTAAACATGAATTTTTTAATAATATAGTAGTTTTTGTTGTCTCACTAAATTTCTCACTTTATTTCGATCTTCCTTTTCCTCTTGATGTGATGTAGCAAAAATCTAACTATATTCTTCTAGCATATTCTTCTATATTCGTCTGTGCAGTGTGCTTAAATAAATTAATTTTTTTTCTTTTCGGAGTTTTTCTCTTGTCTGACAAAGGGTGAGGTAGCTTGCAGTTTCTCGATTGTCCGTTACATTTTCCATATTCTCGATCTTGTAATAAAGAATTCTTTCCTGTTATTCTGTCTCATGCAAAACAGCCACCAGATGGTAGCTTTAATAAAAGAGAATTGTTAAATAATGTAGTAGTATTTAAACAGATAACAAATTAATGAACTTTGTTTAATTATCGCGATAGAAATTTTCCATAGAAATTAAAAATTTACAAATTCTTATAACTCTTAATCAACATGCGACACATAGTCGCATCATATAGTAAAGTTTTAATTTGCGTGGTAAACTATACATATATACATCACGTGCATCATAAATAGTAAAATAGCGACGGAATAATAATGATATAAACCGAGTGTTGTCATCCTTTTAAATTTTAAAATTAGAATATAATACTCTAAAGTCTCTAAACAGTGTGAGAAAATGTGTGCTCCGAGATGCATCCGTGAATGAGCTTTTTTCCTAATGGTTTCCGTTGAGAATGACAACAAAACGTACAATTCGTCGAAAATGGAACATGCATGACTTCCGAAAAAATCGCATTCATAGCACGGCAAGGCAGGTTCAGTGAGGTCGTGTAATCTACGCGTTTTTGCAATTAATTCGCGCGGGATGCGGTTTTCAATCGAAAAGTTTATTTAACCGACTCGCACGCTTCGTGCTGCGGAATTAACAGGATCATCGCTCGTGACGTTTGTCGCGAACATGAGAACGGGAGGGGGGGAGGGGAGGGGTAAATGAGAGGGTGGATGTGCTCCACATTTGACGATGTTAATTAAAACGTATACCATCACGTGTGATAGCTGGCACGCGCGACAATGTATCATATTCCGTCGAACGGAGCTGTTGTTTGCACCCTCAGTGTCCCTCTAACTAAAGAGTTGTGAGAAAGGGGTGAAATTAAAAATGCGTGTGCAATCGAACGAACAGTCTAGCATCGATTTATTTTTCAGCGGTCGCACACTCACGAGTTACTTTTGCTTTTCCACGAAACTCGATATTCGGAAGCTAGTTTTATCTTAATTTTGTTACGTACCTTTCAACGAAATGTTATACGCGTGCGAACTCATCAAAGAACACGATGCGACACATAAAGTAATCAGACAGTGGAAAATCAGCGATTAATTATATGTTATTAAATATAATTTTTTTGTATCAAAATATATAATATTATGTCCTTTTTATCGTAAGTCTTAAATTGTGTGGCTTTCAAAAATTATGGCTAACAATAAGTTACTTGATTTTTATAAAAATTAGTACATTTTTCATCAAATAATGTTTTATTTTTAAAAAACAAATAAGTAATTTAGAATCGACCAAGGAACGAGCAAGGTTTATTTTTATTTTATTTTTTAATAATTTGGGCATGTCTCGCTGTATAAATATGTGAAAATAATATCATTGTAAAACAAGTAAATTCACAATTTATGTCCTCTTTTTTTTGAAGTTTTTGTAGGTAATACGGAGCCTGGTTACAGTGAGTGAATGAGAGGATTAACGGGTTATTATTTTTCTTGCGCTCGTGCGTTAATATCACATCCCAGATTTATTCACGAGAGATATTAAAATAGAAATTATTCAGTGTAAGGCCTGCTTGACTTGATTATATGCAGTATATTAATATAGACGAATAGATTACGAAAAACATCTTTTCGATGGATAAATCTCAAGGCGCTGTATTTGGGGAGACCGGGGACAAAAGTAACATTTTGAATTTAAAGTCTTATAACAGTTAAATTATAATATTTACATTTAAAAAACCTAGATCTTTAGATGTAGAATTTATTTAAATACAAAATTTTCTTGTGTTAAATTTTGTAATGTAACTAGGGAACTTTATTACTGTTTAAACACTATGAGGAATACTGTTACAACTGTCCCCAGCCCCAGGGACGGTTGTATTATATTATTTATAGGTAAACACTTAGCTATTTATTAAGTTTTATGCAATACAATTATTTATAATTATACATATCAATGTTATATGGATATATATAACATATATTTAATAAAATTAATTATAATAAAATAAAAAGAACAAAATTTATATAAAACCGGAAAAAAGCTCTTTTTCTTTCTAATAAGTTCAAATAACATTGTGAAAAAAAAACTTAAATAAAACCAAGCAAATCGGGAGACAATTATAACGCTACAACGCTAACCGTCTCCAAGCATCGATGTTACAATTGTCCCCCAATAATATTTTATAATTCGAAGTAAAGTTTCAAAATAAATATATAGATAAAAATCAATTAAAATATGCAAATCATCAACATAAATGATTACTAAAACCTTTTTAGATAATACGTTATAACTTTACCATTAAAAAACAAAAATATTTTACATTTTGTGCATATAATAAAACTTACTTGAATGAAGAAAGTATTTTTTGTTCCTGCACACGTGCACGTTTTGTGTGAACCGATAAGGAACTAACAAACCAATGTCGGTCTGTCTAATGATTTTTGCCTCACCGCCACATACATATGCTTATTATAGTTTTAAAAATATTCACGATGTTACAATTGTACCCTGTTACTTTTGTCCCCGGTCTCCCCTATGCTATTTAAAGTTATTTTCTCAGATTCGCGTATCGATTTTTGATACTTTTTCCGAGTCAAATGCATTTAACCTGAGAAATGATATCGCACCTAGATATGACCAGACAGGGCATTAGAGAACAGTAAAATTTAATTTAGAAATGCTATTTCATTCCAGTTAAATATTTTATGTATTATTCCATGAATTTATTTATATGTATTTGGCTTGCATTATCCTAGATTGTTATTTCGTTAAACATAGCTGTCTCTATCATATCAAATCGCAAGATTAATATATAAAAATTTCAGACGATTTTGTAAATTAACAGCGAACAATAGACAAACAGCGATAAAGCGATAAACAACCGTAACATATATCGCCAATAACAATCGCAATAACGAAACTAAAAGAAAGGTAAAGATTATGCGTAAAAGTTATTCTTCTTCCGGATAGATGAGAAATAAAGGAGCCATGAGAACTGGTCATTCCAAGTCTAAGACGAAGTAAGACTCTCAGAGTTTAGTATCTTGAGAGTGTCGACTCTCCTGTTGATGGTATTCAACTGGCGAAAATCCTTACACGTTTCTTGAACAGCAACAAGAATTAAAACGAAAACGGGCAATTACAGTATGCTATGAGAAACGATCTGTTTTTATTACTTGCAATTTTCAGGACCTGTTTGTTACTAAAAGTGTGCAAATAGTCTCGAAGAATTATGTACTCGCAGGAGAGCGGTAAATTATCGAAGAATTTATAGAAGACAGAGTGTAACGCAGAAAATATCACGCTTCCTTTTTTTTCTCTTTAATAGATTATATATCTATTATTAATACGAATTTTTTGTGACAAAGATATATTTTATATCACTTTGAAACGATTTAATAATATTTTTCCCTTTGATGATAAAAAAACATTTTGCAAAGTAAAAAATTCGTGCGTTCTTTTCTTTCATGCATCGTCGACACATTTTGTGATAAACTAATACAATATTGTATCCAGCGTATTATATTCTATATAATACATCTTTTCCAAAAAAAAGGAAGAATAGAGAGAATACTTGAAAATTTTATATTGCGCGAATGGAACCAATCGCTTTAAAAGACTCCTTATGCGGTTTCTCGATATAAAGTTTTGTCGAAGAAAAATGAGGTAGAAGAAAGAACAAAGAGGAGAAGTAGCCAAGAAAGGAAATAAAAGGGTCTTACAAAGGAAATACCCAAGGGGGATTCTGTATAGCAAAGTGACAACTATACGCGCTTCGACATTATGAATTATCTGCAGGCTGCAGCAACACCTGCGCTTTTACACAAATTTCACCGACGAGTCGACAGTCGACGCGTAACATTACGTGTGATGAAAATTTCTCCTACAAACTACATTTTTCAAGTACTATCACGTTGCTCAAGCAAAAAAAGCGTATATATAAAAGTTAAATAATTAAAAAACTACATAAAAATATTGAAGGAAGAGAAGAATAAAGGAAATTTTCAAAAAAGGAATTGTGTTGAAAAGAGAATTAAAGTAGAAAATTTGTGTATCAAGAGCTTGTACCTAAGGCGAATTTTATTTCATATACTTGTAGAACACAAGAGGATCAAATTTACTTACTACGCGGCTTTATAATTCGTTTTGAAGCAAAATTTCTTCGAATTTAAAAAGAGAATTTTAAAAAAATACAAAGGAAGAAGATAGGCTAGTTTGGCCAATTGTCAGTTGACGAGAAAACTAGAGCATAATTTGGGGTGTTTAAAGGGAAGCTATTTGGAAGTAAAACGAATTCGTTCGTCGAGAGGAAGTGGAGGCTGCTCGTAAACTCGAAAACTTTTCACGAAATGCGATTTTTCGCTTGCATTCATGCTCACTCATTTGATACATATCTATCGTTTGCTAAGCGAGATGTTAAAAATTTAATGAGCTTCGTGTAAAGCTCGTAATTCTCGAGATGGACGTTAAATGTTGCACGAGGAGAGCCCGCTTTGCTTTCGCCTACGAGAGTAGCTGTCGGGCCGGAAAGACAAACGCTTTTAAATTCGATTTCACTCGTAATTGAATCTCGGCTTTACTTTCGAGAGATGTGATATTTCTTCATGCGCTATATATAAGGAGAAGTGTAAGCGAATGCAAATTTTGCCGAGTGCCACATCAATCTCGCTCGAACAATTTTCGCATGAGGCTCGTCGAGATAAGTATAATCTGTAAACATATTTTTTTTTATTCTTGAAAGAGCCGCGTCATCGCACATTTATTACTGGGAATTAATACACTTATCAAGAAGCAAGGATTAACCTTACTTGGAAAAGCAAAATTGTCTCGCCAATTTTTAATCACGGGTATAGGTAAACGAGAACGCAATACGAGAGAAAGAAAAAGTTTTGCTTGACACACTTCCCTGTTCACATAATGGCGTATATACGTTACACAGTTTTTATGTCACCATTACGGCCAGGTTTTACACTGAATGTTCTTCTTTTCACATATACCTACATAAAGCACACTGCAGTGTTTATATTAGCAATGATTTCTCAACGATTAAGACGAGAATATTTGTTGTTGGTGCTGCATAAAATAATTCCAACAGTAGTGATGAAAAAGCAACTATTTCAACGTTTAGGAAAACTTGCAGAAGGCCATGATTTTATTATTTTGCTTTGTAACATATATGTATATCTTACTCTCTGACTAAATTTCCAACTACAATTTCTTTAAGATGATGTAAAATATGACACTCTATTCACACATCTTCTATATTAAACTTTTCTAAGTTCTTAAAATTATCATAACATCGCTAATAATTTGAGAAAAAAATATTATTCAAAGCTTGAAATAAAGGGGTATAAAACATTCAGAATGCTTTCCTCTATGATGTTCACATTCACATTTCACGTTTCAGTATTTACACGAGCAAAACGAAACGCTAAAAATAATTGCACTACTAATTGCAAAGGAATGCATTGCGATGTTTCTAATTCTAATACGTTGCGCTGATCACTTTGCAAAATACATTTGAAAAATGTATGATTGTTACTCTTTGATCGTAACTTACCACGTTAGCGATTGCTCCTCACTCTTGCTTTTCGCGTTTCCGACGGCGATCCTTAAATTCTCATAGTGATTTCGCGAAACATATCGTACCGCTAAAGTGGAAAAAACCTGTTGTGCCGTTGTTTGCACAATCACGCAGAGTTTCGTAAAATCGCGCTTAGAAGCATCGATTATTCCAAACCACGTTTATCTTTTTGGAAAACCAACGTTCTATCAGCTCGTCAGTCTGCTGTCTCATAATATTTTTACACTATTATATATGCTGTGTGTATATATAATATAGACGTATATATATATATATATATATATATATATATATATATTTATAATAGATCAACGTTCTTTCTCTCTCTGAACGTTGTACGTTAATTCTTTTGTTTGACAGAGAGAAAGAGAATCTCAAGCAGTTTCTAATTATAATTAGTTTATATCACTTATCACGAATCACTTATGTTTCGACATATTCGCGATGTAGCATTTGGAGCACCCGTATCACTCACGTTCGATACCGTCTGACTATGATTGACTCGTATCACTTACAGTTCATGACTATAATTGACTTGCTTACGTCCGATATACCGATGGATAAGTCAACTCAAACAGAACAACTTACAGTTTAATCGTTCCCGAAACAGAGCAAGATCGAGAACATGCTTCTCTCGCTTCACGAAATAAACTTTGAAAGACTGCGAATCTATTCGATATTACTTGTGTCATCTTATTCCTTTGTCGCTGTTTTCTCAAAAAATATGGAGATCGTGATAAATTCATTGTGCTGATGTCACTGATTATTCCGCACTGATTATCATTCGCGATTTACTTAGTTGGTCCACATCCGTTCTCGATTTGCCACGGTAACGGGCATCACTAAAAGAACTTTTGAATTTAAATACGATGACCGCTTCGAATCACGCGTTCATCCTTTACCCTGAGGAATTGTCCCCAAGTATCCCTTATGAAAAATGAACGCTCGACCATTGGACGCGGAGATGATTAATTTTAAGCGCGATCGGGATATAAGAATTGAATATATCACAAATAAAATGAATCGCGCGAATAACTTTTCAATTAATTCTTAAATTCTCCTGGTTTAAAAGACGTTGACAAAAATTTGAAAATTTAAAAATACTTAGAAAAGAAAATTGTTTGCAGACCATATATCTTTTTTTATAATTTCACTATTTTAATAATCACTGATTCCATTATAATGTGGCGAGCTATTATTATAGATCCCTGATGCAACGATTATAAAGATAATGAGAATTTAATTATCTTTATATTGCCCATGGTATAAAAAAATATCTGTTTACAATTAGTAAATTAGTTGACCAAACGTATCACATTACTCACTCTGTTCCAAACTCAAGTTCCATGGCCTTATTTTTCGAGAATTTTTCGAACAAGAGCGACAGCTATTTTAATACTCAATATAAGGAATTAATGCCACTATAAAAAAATCATTATAAAATTGCTACGAAAAATTTGTCAGCGAAGGATAACGGTAGAGAACGAAGCAGCATGCTGTACCGCAAATCTTTCACTGTGTGAAATAAAGATTTCAAATAAAGATTTGTGTTGAGAATCGAGTCGTCGATCATTGAATGCACTATCTCGCTATACTAAACAACATAACTAAATGCCGTCCCGATCGTATTACGCGAGCTCTATCGAACTTCACTCTGTGGACGATGAATGTCCTCGTTCGCGGCCATCTATTTCCGCGCAGATATTCTTCCTTTAGCTAGAATTCACTCCTCGTGCGGCAGATACACTGCAGCAAAATCCAACAAACATTTCCGTAAAACTATATTCCGTCAAAGTTTTCACGTTTAAAACAAGTCTCATGTCTCAACACTGTCTGGTGAGATACGTTCAAACTCGCGGAACTGGTGGATATCGAGCCAATTCCGAACTGTCGGTGGTGAACGATAGAGCACGATTCGACGCTCGGCGATGATGAGCTCGACGAGAGATGTGCCTCTGCTGTCGCCCGGCGGATCGAGATCGCGGCTGTGGTCGAGTTTCGATCGAACAGACGAAGCTAGAAGAAGTCGGGAAATATGTGAGTGAAATGCGAGCAGGCCGAGCCAAGCGACGACAGCGAGCGAGAAACGTACGCCGGCTTTTACGTGCGGACGCACCCCCGTAGTGGCCGCAGGGCGCAGGATCGCTCTCCGATCTCCGTCTCCGGGGGTGGCTGTGGCGCATGGCGCATGTGCGGCAAATGTACAACAAGAACGGAGGCGGGAGGGTCGCATGCGAAAGCGCGTAGTCGCAGCCCCGTTCCGTCGACCTGTGTGTTCTCCTATCCTTTTCTCGCTTTCTCATCCTCTTTTTTTTCTTTTTCCTTCTTATACTTTACCGCCCTTTTTTATTCTTCCTCTCGCATCTTTATAAATGTTTTCTTCGCCTCTATTACGCACGCACTGATGCCTTTTTATTTTCGTTCCGAGATTACATTAATGATGGCGAGAATCCACATTAGTTTTGCAATTGAAAAAACTTGTTTATTTATAGCTAATCTGCTCGTTCACGTCTCTCGTCTGCAAATTTTCTTATCGCGCAACTCAAGATGACGATGCACGCGCGAAACGACGATTAGCATCAGTCGAAAGGCATCAGTTTCCTTTCTTTTCAAGTATACACGATCACGCACATTGATGCTTAAATGACTCAGATATGCTAAATATAGATGAAGTATAAAACTAAGTAAGACTAATTTTTCGAGATTCTGATTTTTAGGAAGATTTATATTTACTCAATTTACGTTATTCTTTCTTTCATGTATACATATGTATCGTTTAATTTACGATATAATAGCAAAATAAATATAAATATAAAATAAGTTATAAGTTTGCAATTGATTTTTTTGTCACAGATCGTCAATTATTCGTTTATTATATTTATTTATTTATTATATTTTATTTATTCTGATTTTTGTTTTATCGTTTATGTATAATATTTCTAAATATCATAAATTCGGGACTGGATGTGAAACGCAAAGAAATCGATGGTTGGTAAACGGGCCAACCGTTTTTAGTACATCTAGATCCGTAGATTCTAACATGCATTATGCATCGTATCTCTTACGTAATATACGTAATCTGAATCTGATTGAAATTTTAGACGATATTCACTCATTTTGATCTGTTGACGACGACGCCACGGGAACATCAAATGATCGACAGAATGATTTCAATCTATATTCCGATAAGAGATACTTAAAATTTTATTTACAATTATATGAATATAAATCCTAGCCACTTTTGCAAATGCTCGATCGCTTCTAGTCATCATAAATAGCTTCACATATCGTAATCGCGTTTCATCCCGAATATTTTCCTTTAATATACCTTTGGTGGCTTTGCGATACTCGATCATGCTAGAGTGTCCTAGACTATGACCTTTTCTTTTGTTCTAGTATTTACACCTGCGTACGTAATGCTTTGTTTAAAGTTTTTACACCTTCTTGCTGTCCAACTCGTATCTACGTCTCCTTCGGTCCTCTATTCTCGATTCGTTTTCTTCTACGCGTAATTTGACAATTACTATTTACAATATACGTAATTTGACAATTATTATTGATATTGTTCATCAAGCATATATATGTATACATATACATTGTATGTACATACATACGCATCTCTCTCTCTCTCTCTCTCTCTCTCTCTCTCTTTCTCTCTTTCTCGCGCGCGCGCGGTGACATATTTGATCTTTATTTACCGTCGATGCGGCAACAAATGATCCGATAAACGGATAAACAAAAAATTCGGATATGTAATTCTAGAAACGATAAAATTTTTGCCGAAAAAAAAGATTTCAAGAAAAATTCTTTTATTCGTTTTGAAAAGCGTAAAGTAAAATTGATGTTTAATGCTTACTTCGTGCTACTTTGGATAATTATTCAACTAAAAACGTTAATTCTGTTTTCATAAAACTTTTCCTTAATCTCTCAAATTAATGAAAGCAAATATCAATCATTCGCGTTTGTGACGCGAAATAGTTGTACAGAATTTATCGTTTACGATCTTTGTCTTATTGTTCTCGCTGTTGTGTACAATGCAACGCTTCTATCCGATCATTCGATCGTACTCGCTCTTCGTTCACTCATGCCTCTACGCCTCGCGAGAGATTTGAAGGAAAGTTCAAAGAGGAGAGAACATCAAAGATATATCTACACGCTACAAACGATTATTCTTTGCTCGTATGGATCATATGTATAGCACAAGCAGTCCCTTTTTACAAAAAATGATCACATGATTTTTAAAATTTCTAATAATATAGTCTCACAACTTTTTAGCATTAGAGTACAGGATGAGTTTTAGGAAAATTAAATTAAATTATAGAGAGAATTAATGAATTACCTTTGATGTTCTCTTCTTTCTTCTGTCGTAAATATTAAAAATCATGCAAGATCAGATTACTGAATGAACGAGAAGAGAAATATTTGCTAACTCACCGATTATATAGCAGTAGTGCAGACTCACAATGAAAACTCGTGCGTCATCTTTCACATCTGAAGATGTATTTGATGATCCGCATTAGGCTACGTATCTTGGCGATTACCTCCTCTTGCATGAGATTAAAACACATAGCGATCAGTGCCATTCCTGAAAATATAAAAAAATATGATTCGATATTTCTGTAAAGTCTCTGTATCGAATATTAGATTAGAGCGTGATTTTAAGCATCGCGGATATTATTGCGCCTGCAATTGTTGCGCGAATTGAAAGCGCTGCACCGCTCGTACGCGGGAGCAATCGAAACGTTTGAAAGCACTTGAATATTTTCTGCGAAAAATCTGCCCGGCAATCGGATATTGATTGAAACGAACTTAATGCGCTCGCAGCATGGAAAGCTGTACAGCAACAGATGAAATCGCGTTGCAGGATTTAAAGCAGTTGATCCCTTTTAAAACGATTGTTTTTGCGTCGCGGCGTTGAGCGTCGAAAATTCTATGACAATCGGATTTCTTAAAAAATTATAGCTATCTATTTTTTATTCCAATTTGCTGTCATCTAAAATACACGAATGATTTTAAACCGAATAATTTTACATGCCTTTAGTCTGTTTTCTGAAAGGAAGCTCTTTTCTTGACTTTTATACATATTAACAATAAGAGACGTGTCATCGTATATGTAAAACTTACCAAGCATCAGGTACATAGAACAGAAGATAAAAGACAAATCGAGACCTTGCCCAGAGTAGATTTTGTCGCCAGGGACGATGTCACCGAAACCTATGGTTGACAAAGAGACGAAGCAGAAGTAAGAACCATCCAACATATTCCAATCTTCCCATATCGAAAACAGAACTGCGCCGCCCCAAATATACCTAGCGAGAGCAGAAAAGTAAAAAAAATGTACTATCAGTTTGGGGTTTGATTTTGTTGCCAGCGGTTCTCCCGAGTTTCCGAGAGAGAAAATGACATCCATTGCAAGTTTAATCGTGGAATGTTAGACTCACAAACTGATAAGCTAAACGTAAGCTAAACAGTAAGCTAAACGTTAATATAGCTCCAAATATAAGGCATTTGTGGAAAATTTCACTTTATAATCTTAATAGAATTTTGATTTGAATTGAAAGGAGATATGGCAAAATTAATTTTCAAATCTAGATTAGACACTTGCAACTTTTTTTAAATTAAATAATGTCAGAAAAAAATGGTACATATATAATATTTTATGTTAATTTTAAAAAGTGATATGTCTGTCTCTCACACACACACACACACACACACACACACACACACACACACATTTTGAAAGTTATTTTACTAAAATATAAACTTTAAATATATACAAAAACGAACTATTCCTATTTCAAGAGAAATAAAATTTTTTGTTATTTTTTTCTTAATTCATTTGTCTATTCTATTGCATCCTTTTTTAAAAATACATATATCTTTTAAAATTAATTGCTCTATTGCATATTTCCCTCGTCAGATACTCACCCCACCATAATAGCGAGACAGAGAGTTAACGGCACCGTGACATGCTGAGGATCGTAACTGTCGTTCTCATCGTCATCGTCTTCGTCGTTCCCGTCGCCTTCGTTAACGCCTGCACCGTTGTCGTCGTCTCTAGGCAAAGTTTCTTCTGCATCCAAGCTCGACGTATCTACTTCCCCGCCATACGTGCTTACAACCTACAGACAAACTTTCTTTAAATCGAAGGTCAAGCGTGGAGCATGGAAGCCTGAGCAAGGTGTTGGTGCTTAAATATTTATAAATTATGTATTTTGATAAGTAAACTATAATATTTAACAAAACGAACGTCTTGACCTCAATTAGGTTATCTTTAGGGCAAATAACAAATTACTCATGAAATGATGAATGAAGACGAAGGCAAAGTATGTCAAATACGTAAGATGAAATGAACAAAATTTAATTTGACTGAATTTATATCATATCATTCCGGAGGAACTCATAATTTGTTGTTTGCGCTAAAGATGACCCAATTGAGGTTGAAACATTCGTTTGGTTAAATATTACAGTTTACTTATCAAAGTACATAATATAAATATTCTTGCTCATCAGTAGGCTTCCAAGCTATTTTATTTATGCAAAAGCCAAGAGACAAATATTATTTTTCTTTAAATATTCTCTATGTGTGATACCTCTCGAATATGACATATATCCCAAATATCAGGATTCGCTCGTAGCAAGATTAATGTGATTTCAACATTGAAACATTTGTTTTAGCCTGGTCTTTATTTTGGATTTTGGATATCGGAGATAATTCTAAGGGATTCTGTATGTGAAAGCCCTGCACTTTACCGCATCACAATGTTACTTCCTTAGAATGCAATCGGATTCTAATTACTGCAACGGTTGCAGCGGAGCGTCGCTTACCTGCCATCGATCTCTTTTCACAGCAGGATCATTGGATATCTCCGACGCTCTCGCGCTTGTCGCATCGTATGGTCTTCTTCGACATCTTGAAAAATCGATCGTGATTAACTTCGACGATGACGGTTTTAAAACTTTTAAATCTGATCTTAGTTATACTGAAAAGGATCAATTAGAGAAATGTGACACACTTTTGTGAAGAGCATGGAACGATCTTACTTGCACAAGCAACAGCGGGCGTAGGTCCATTTGAAGCTTCTGGCCAGAATGTCGCCGATATTGCTGAGATACAGGAGGAAAAGTGGCATCCCTATTATTGCGTACACTATAGTCGCGACTTTGCCCCATTTTGTCCTGGGACAAATGTTGCCGTAACCTGCGCAGTAAACGAGAACGCGGCAAGTGAGTTTATCGACGAGCTCTTCGTTGCTTCGTCTCGCGGGTTCTATTTCTTGCTTCATCCATCCCGTGTATGTGAGCTGATTCATCTTTTATTAATTTATTGCCCACGGTGTTTTCGGCAAGAAACCCCTAACATCGTGTTGGGTCCGAATTATTAGTTAAACGAATACACGTGATTAAAATATTTATTTATTCTTAAACAAGAATTACACATACCGAATGTCTGAATTCACTTTCATGATTAAACAAGAATCTCTTAAATGTACGAATTCTGTTAATCAAAAATCTTATCACGTTCTCAGAGCAATTTATTTTGACAAAAAGGCGTAAGCTGGATAATACTTATATTCTTAGATTACTTCTTTACAAAGTGCCATACTTAGGCTATGTTCGAACAGCGCGCTATCCTTGTTTTACATCTAATGAACGAAAAATAAAGACAGAATAATACAATGGCGTTGGTAGCATGTTTTTTCTTTCTTCGAAGTCTTATTAGTGCGGATTAAGCACTTATTATTGCTTGGCCGTAGCTATGTAACTCTCTGTTATCGTAGTGATATTCATATAAAGAGCGGCAATTCTAATTCCTTCTAATCTTTCTAATAATTCAACCGAACGTTGTTTCAACAGACATACCCGTGAAAGTTTGACCACGTGTGTTATTAAAAATTTCAGGTTTATCTCGTGAAATATATAAACAAGAGGAATCTACTCGGACATTTTCATGTTTTATAAGGTGGCGAAACGTGTTTCATAAAACTGAGCAAGTAAAAGTGTTTAAAAAGAAAGAAAGCACCGCGAAATTTCCTATCTGCGCTTTCATAAAGTGTCTCTTCTATTCGAGCGCTGAAAAAATATTCGCCGATTTCCTGCGACAAGATGATTTTCCGCGGCATTAGAGGAAATTGCGCGAAGCGTCGCGAGGAATTAACAGTGTCATTTGAATTCATTGAAATAAGCTATTGAATCGTATTTGTTCGCTTTCTTTGCTTTCTCTGAGAATTCGGCTTTATTACTTTAATCTCTTTATAGAAATAGATCCTTTCCTTCACTATTAATATATACATAATAATCCGAAGCAATTTACCGAAGACCGCAATTTATTGGCGCGATCCATTCATCGAGCGACAACTTTGATGATATTTCTGCATTTTTAGTCTCCATTTCGGACCATTTATCATTCTCAAAAAGAGAAAAAAATGTTCAACAAGCTCTAGTAGTCTAGTGCCAAAAAAAATCATCGAATTGAAGCGCAATATCAGAGATGAATCGAAGCATATATATATATATATATATATATATATATATATGCTTTGAAATCAAGCACGAGTCACCGTGAAATAAAACTTGTTCAACTGCATTTTTTTCATATACGTACGTACATACGTGCACCCAAATATACGCGAAATAAGAAAGTACAATAAGGGAACGTGACGCAAAGATATAAATTCAGAATGATTTTTCAAGAATATCACATGTCGAATTTCAGCTTCACAATCCTCACAGGCAAAATGGCCGGTTTCGCGAGATGCGAGACGTGGACACTTTATTTTTCCATTTCTTGGATAGTCTCGAAAGTCTCAGAACGACAGCCACGATGTCTCTTCTTACCGCGATATTGTGTTAAACAGCCACTGCGCGACATGCACACACAATTTACATTTTGATAAAAATTAAGACTTTCAAAAACCTGATACACCCGCACACACTTTAATTGTGAATAAAAAGTTACTACGGTTAAACGGTTATTACTAAATTTACATAACTTTGTAATTCACGTGTCCTTCCTATTAGCATTAGAATTATATATATATAATCGAATGTAATTTTTATGTCAAATCATAACTTGTATACTTATAATTTATTTTACATTCATATTACTGTTCAAACTTGCTTGTTTAATAACATTTTGTTATTTCTGAAAAAATTAAGAATTGTGTAATTTTTCCTTTTCTTCTTTCCCTTTGACATTTCTAGTATAATTTTGCATTTTGTAAGGAGGTGGCACGGAGAAGGAAGCACCGATCTCGTTAATTCTCGAGAATCGACACTCACGCGATTTATTTTCACAACCGAGACACATTATAGTGGACGCGTCGCTCGACGTCCGATCGCGCGGACGCGTCTTTTAGCGACGATAAAACGGCGGCGCGCCCGATTGTAAATGACAGCGCTAAAGCCTGCAGTAAATGGACGCGTTTAAAGCTATGTCTACGCGATCTCTGTGAATATCCTACACTCACGATGACGTTTTATGACGTTTTATGACACGCGAGTTCTGCTCCTTTCGCGCCGAAAAGGACTCCGAGATTTACGCGCGGAAAATAGAAACGCTTGAGTCCATTCTTGCTTTATACTCATATATCTGATTTAATACAACGTTTAATTTTAAGCACTCGCACTCAAATATAGAGTCTTCTTCAAGTCTTTTTAACATTGCAAATATGTTTTTAGTGCAAAAGTTCAAAATCGACACATAATCTTGCATGTATTGTTGTCAATTTACTTTGCCGCTATGACGTTGATTGGCCATCAAATCGTATGAAAAATTTCGTCAATACACTCGAAGCGGAAGATAAAAATCGAGATATTGTTATAGCTGTGACAATTTATAATATCTCCTCTGTATTTCTACTTTGAGTGCGCGAGTTGCGCTCGTTCACGTGTAAATGGAGATGATGTGTCATTCACGCGTCATCCATAAAAATCCTCTTGCGCAATTCGGAACGGAGCCGAAGGCAGGGTCGTGTCGCGAAACCGGCAGCATGCCGATGCAACATCCAAAACTCTGTACGGCGAAAAGTGTCGAAAGAGATTTTCCCACGCGTCGACTAAACGACGTATGCCGCGCGTTACGGATGGCTTTTGCTGCTCGCAGCGACTGATTTTTCAGCGTCACTTTTTAATACGCGTGTCCGCGAACGAATGAGCGGAACACTGACTTTGTTAATCCATTCGAGAGATATAGCGGCTCGTCGATACAATTTTTTTATTCATTTTTCCAAAACTCTATTGTTACAAACAAAAATAGAAAAGAGAAGAAGCGTAACTGCAACGTGATGCTATGGTTATTGCAAGTTAATTATAACTATAATCCATATCGTAAATATTGATGAATGCTATAAACACAGCTATTTGCGCTAATTTTATGATGAGGTAGTTAGAAATGTAATATCCAAATAAAATAAAATATTATTCCATTGTATATGTATATAACACATCAAAGTTATATAGTAAGTTGTTGTTATTATTAAGATAATATTATACATTTTTTTTTTATTTTACAAAAGAAATTAAATGAAACGGATTACGTAACGAAGTATAATTATCAATTTTTAATGATATACAGACTTCAGTGCTCTATCGTAATTAAAATGTTGCACAAATTACGATATATATATATATATATATATATATCATACCAACTTGTACCATCTTTCAACATTAGGAGGATTAAAATTCCGAGAGAATTTCCCCTTAAGCGACCACAAATGAAGATGTTACTTCTATAATGCCGCAAACTCCATTTTACTTCATGTTAGTGTACGAACCTTTGAAGTTAAAGAAGCAGAAAAAATTTAAGAGAGAGATTGTAAAAAAACACAACGTGCCTATTAAATAAAGACACGCTTAGTACTTGAATATTCTATACATATATCCTCTAACTTTGCTTCTTTCATTCTAAAATGCGAAGAAAAAACGGAAAAAGAAAAATGGAATGTTATTATTATTCAAAATTAAAATGGTGCTTGTATGTACATCATACATTTTTCTCATAATAATCAAAATGTATCGAAAATGATTTTACAAATTAATAAAAAGGATAATAAGTAAAAGAATATATGTATCGTACAGAAATTAAATGTAGATATTTGTATGCTTCAAATATGTTAAACAAATAGGAAATAATTGGTTGCATTTTGATAGGAACATTTTTTATTATTTTTGAATCAAAAACATGGGAACAAAGTTCTTCGTACAACTTTAGACCCACCCTATGGACAATGTAATATGCGCACGTTTCATAGTCGGAAATGAAAGCGGAAATAATGGGCCATGCACGCGAAAATTAATGTCGTGTTATACGAGTCGACGAATGCTAGTACATAAAACCACTGCGCATATATAAAGTGTTCCAGAAATTTTGACTCTATTTTTAATGATATTGACAAATAATTTTCGATAAGATAAGATTCGATATTTTCTGAATTTATGTATTGAGATATTATGTATTGAAAGTGAAATATTTAGATCTCTAAGATGTAATTAAATGTAACTATCTTATAAAATCTTTAGTCTTATTTTAATTCAAACGATTGTTATCTTGATAGAATTTTTATTCTAAATTTAATTTTGATGTAGATTTCCAAGATATAAAAATTTTTTTATATAAAAATGTCTATTTTTAATTGTGGTCGAAATTTTTTTAAGACACCGCGTATAAAAGTCGTAAAACATTAAAAGCTTATCCGACTATATCAACTGCCCTTTTGATGGCTGTAATAAAAGCGATCAAAAGCGATATAGTGTAAATATCAAAAATAATTCGAGACCTCTTTTGGTACACTAAAATATTAAATTTTAAATACCTCAGACAATTGTTTCTTCTACAGATAACTTTTATAATATTATCTACCAGCGCATTTCAACAATTATGAAATTCTTGTTTTATTGACCGATGTGAAATATTAATGATTATATCGTATCAATTTTTTCAATTTGTATTAGTTTCTGCACAAGAATATCAATTATCGAATGCGAATTTGATATCTAATAAAGAATGATGTTTTTTTTTTTTTTTTTACTAACTTTGATAGAAAATTCTACATCTGTTTACATGCGTTTACTTGTAAACGGAAGATCTTACAGAAACGATCAAATATTCTTTTATCCAAAATTCCGATACGATCTATTTTGACTGCAATTTTCTGTGACTTCTCTCTTCAAAAGATTTTATCTTGAAAGATAAAATTG